CCCCAAAACCCCAAAACCCCAAAACCCCATGAATGATTATTCTTCTAATATGTATGATAATTAAGTTTGTAAATCTAAATTCGAAGTGAATTATATTTAATTACTATAAAAATTATTGATTCAAATGTAATCCAATATGTAAAATTATCTTTCTCAAACAGGGATTGATATACTAATAAATGATGCTTTCAAATAAGTAGCTATTTGTAAACCTAGCGATCCAATCGTGTACATCGCTGAATATTTGTAATAGAGAGGTCATACTTTTGATGATATTTCGACTTTAAAAATAATTTCAAGCTCCACTGTTTAAAAATAACAGGTAAAATCTGATTCTTACGATGAGCTTGATTAAAGAAAATAATTGCCACACAAAACAATGAAGGTATCATCAGCGAAACTAATAAAAATAGAAGATTTAGATCGGCCATTTATTAAAGAAGAGGGTATCACAATAACTTTAAGAAAAGTGGCAGGAGTAAACTATCAGCAAGTCTAAGCGCCATAATTATAAGATATACCTGAAGGCTAGGAGCCAAATGAGGATGATGACGATTTTGAATAAATTAAAGAGACTTAAAAGCCTGGAGGTGGAGTTTAAATGGACAATCCCATATATAAAAACACTATTAGCAAGAACTCTCAAAATTCTTCTTTACAATAAAATTAGAATATGAATTCATAGGAACCGGAGGATCATTTAAACCTCTATATGATGATATAAAACAATACAGCAATAACATTAAGTGACATTATTGAATAATTCAAAGATGATTTTGATCTAGATGAATTATATAAGATAGCAGCATAAAATCAAACTCTGGCATAAGTTGATTATGAAAACAATTAGAATGATAAAAGAACTCCTTCAGCTAAGATGTTAGAGAAATATCTAATGATTAGATCTAAAAAATATTAAAATTTAATCGAGATTAATGAGCTCGCATAAGGAGCTGAAGCCATTGTTTTTAGATTAGAACATCGTGAAATTGATGAGGTTGTTGTTAAAACAAATAAAATTTTGGAATTATCTGAAAATCAAGATTACTTCTAGCAGCCTTTTATTGACTTCATGAGAGAGACATTATAGTTAAAGCTTCTCTAAAATAAAAACTACATTGCAGAGGTCAGAGAAGAAATAATCGAATACGATTTGAAAAACCAACACATTTTAAGGTATTGCGTAGTTGTTGAAAGAGCTTAGAGAACTTTAGAAGATCTTTTAAAAATTTGGAATAATCCTGATTAATCAGAGAAGTATGTTGAAGCTTATAGTCCAGAAAAGCTAGCATACATATTTTACTAAACTTTGAGTATTATTAAGTACTTACACAGTAAAAATTTCTACTATGGAGATATGAAGCCTTAAAATCTACTTATATTCAGAAATTAGAAAGTTAAAGTTGGGGATCTTGGTATCTCATTTAAACTTGATTCTAAAATTAAAGCTGATGAGCATGCTTATAAATTAAAAGGGCTGACAAAAAATTTCGCAACTTTAGCCACATATTTAGCAATGAAAA